ATTTATTTTAGCAAGTAACTTCTATGACATGCAAGCTAATTATAGATGAGTGCATCCACACATCAGGTGGCGGTATGGCTGGTTTGAGTCAGACTCGTGAACGTGGCCCAGAGATAGCTGCTGATGTGGGCCACATTTGGACCGGACGTTCCTTGCTGTCTGCAGAGTGCACTCAGACATCCATTAGAGTCAAGGCCTCGCTTCTGAGCTTTAAAGAAAGAGATCCAGGTCTGCACCAAAAGGTCTAATAGGTTCTCTTCTCCACCTGCTTTGAGGTAATCTTACCAACAAACGCGTGTGAGACTGCAAACCTCTTAAGGCATGAAATACGTTCCCACATCTCGAAGGGTCACAGCTGGATCTGGATTAGAACTTTTTAAACTCTTTCAGTTTGACATGTATTTGAGAAGATGTTTTCAGTTTTTCTCCATCTTCCAAAAATTAAAACTTCTAAGCTGAACTAACTCAGTTCTTGTAAAAATCTCACACAAATCCATCTGTATCTTTTTGAGTGATCCCACTAAGAAACAAATTCGAAATCATACATTGACGTAACTTGAATTAAATGGGATCTAAACTGCACACCAGAGTGACTTTAGACCTGCTGATGTGTGTCCGGATGACAGAGGTGGGACCAAGTCATTGTTTTGCCAGCCTCAAGTAAGTCTCAAGTCTTTATCCTCAAGTTACAAGTCAAGTCTCAAGTAATGTCAGGCAAGTCAGAGTCGAGTCTCAAGTCACTGGTGTAAAAGTCAGAGTAAAGTCACAAGTCTGAAACTTTGAATTTTAAGTCCTTTCGAGTCTTAAAAAAAAAAAAAACGAAAAAAGAATGTTGCAGTTATATGCTAAATGTAAATATTAGACCATGTAATTTTTAAATCTGTGTTTTTCTCAACACATAACAAAATAGTGAACTTAGAAAATATACACAAATTGTGAAATTGCACTTCTATAAAATGCAGCTCAATTAAACTTAGCTCCAAGAATAATTTTCCCCGACAGTTCTGAGATAAGCTGCATGTTATTCTTGGATGCACTTGTAGGACCGGCTTTAAAATCGCATGACAAAAATATCATACACATTAAAAAAAACTGTATCACCAACGTAGCCTGGACAACATTTGCTAGTTAGATGAAGTCAGCTATCTCATCATAGCAAAAGAGAAGGACCACCTACTGTTCTTTATGCAACTTTAACTGTCGGAGAAAGTTGGAAGTTGTTCCATCTCTGTCTGTGATTCTTTTCTTGCATGTTTTGCATATTGCATTTCGGTTGTAGTTGACTACTTCATAGTTTATGTACCTGAAAAAAATAACTCCTTGCAGCAATTTTGAGCGTTTTCTTTTCTTTTCTTTTTTTAAAAAAAATCTGGTTAATTTGATTGGCTGTGCTACAGCTCACGCACACATACGTACGGAGTGTGGAATAAATGAATAAATGAAGTGAATTAATGGTGCACACTTTCTATATAATATGCGTGTTAAATTTTATATTTGGGGTGAAATATCAAGTCTGTTCAAGTAAACCGGTTCAAGTCCAATTCAAGTCCCAGGTCATTGGTGTAAAAGTCCAAGTCAAGTCACAAGTCTTAGAACATTTTTTCAAGTCAAGTCTAAAGTCATAAAATTAATGACTCGAGTCTGACTCGAGTCCAAGTCATGTGACTCGAGTCCACACCTCTGCCGGATGACTCCTGAAACAAAAATGGACTGACGCTGACCTCCTGTCGGTGTGTGGGTGTGTGAACGTGTCGCCGTCCAGCAACTGTTTTATTTTATGGATTGATCCTTCACATGTATTTGGCACATTTATAAGACTGAATATTTCCAGGAAGACCAGGCTGATCTCCAGAACATGAACGTGTGTGTGTGTGTGTGTAATGCAAGCCGTTTTGGCTTCGCTTTTATGAAATGATGTGTTTATTTTTCAGGCGCTGACACAATTCAACATGTTGAAGGATAAAACAAAAGCTCCTTTAACGATGTTTGTTCATGAAAACATCTCAGAGAGATCACTCCCTGATAAGAAAATCACTTTTCTTAAAAGCACAAACTCAGCTGTGTTGTGTCTGCTGAAGCTGGTTGTCAAACTTTGCAACAACAAGCAGCTCCGGTTCTCACTCTTCCTCATTGATAAAGCCAAACTCAGAGCTGCTTTATTAGGAACAAATGTTGCTGCGTTCACAGCCCTGAATAAATCACGTCGTGTTTGAAAAGCCTGGTCTGATCCAGCCTCAGGACGGCTGTTGAAACAGTCGGGAGAGCAGTTCCGAGTGATTTTACTTTACATCTGAAAACAATCAATGACGAGAAATTAGCACGCAAACACGCCCATTGTTGTACACAGCTGAGCCAGACTCAAGCTGAGCCGAAGATCACTGAAAAAATAACATTTACAAGCTCATTGCTGACTACAATAAACCACAACATGATTAATAACACTATTAGAAAGCAGTCGGTCCAAAAAGTGTTTGTTTTCCTGTTTGAATTGAGTCATATTTCAAATACATGAACTCAAATATTTTCCATATGCACATCTTTAAAAGGCTGTTAAAGGTCTTAAATTGATTCTTAGAAATTCTCAGACCTTTAAAGTTTTGTGTGCTTACGTTAATGTTGGTCATATCCTATAGCTTTAAGGGAACAAAGGGATATGTGGTGGAAAAATGTTAATAGTTTTTTATGTGTGCTAGTTAGAAGGTCTAATTTTTGTAACCCTATTAACAAGATTCTCAAGGGCAAATTTCTAACTGTAAAAAAAATCACATTTTCTGAGAACTTAGAGTTAGTTTAAGGTTACCGGGTGGGGCTTGTGTTCAGCATTAAGGTTCAGGGGTTACTTAGGGATTAAGTTGTGTAACCAATGAGAATATTAAGTAGTATAAATAAACATATACGTGCCCACAGATTGGATATGCATTGATTTAGAGGTACATGGAAACACAGCTTAAAAGCACGGGAACAGTATTATAAATTAGAGCAACTTTTCCTACACATGGACATAGAACCTGAACGAAAAGCCTAAAACACACAGATTTGGATTAAAGATTAGGGGTAAAGATGACTTTGCAGACGTTCCAGGCACTGGTTGCCTAGGTAACCCTCTAATGCATCAACAACATCCTCCACTCTTATTGGTAGTTACTCTTGTTTACCTGAGGACTTGCTCACTTTGAGTGTATCATTACACTGCACCTCCATCTGAATCTGCACAGGTGCAGTTCAGCACCTGTGATGGTCAGCTGTGCAATGTCCATCATGTCTATACTTTCACCCACAGCAAGAGAGTATGCAATAAAGTTTTTGCTTCTTTCACACAACTGTGTTCTTAAATCAGTGGCCATCTCACAAACCCAATCAGCAATCGTATTTCTCCTCAGGCTCACATTTGCCAAAATCTGCGTTTTGTCTGGACACAAGACGTAGCTTACCTTCATCATGCAGCTCTTCAGAGTGGTACCGGGCTGATTTGGCTGTCTCCTCTGCTACAATAAAATTTGCTTTCACAACAGCTTCACTTTGTGATTTTGCTCTGGTGGAAAAAGTCTGCTGAAATGTCAGATTCTACTCTTTTCTACTTTCTGTAGTTTCTGCTCTGCATTTAGGTTTTTCAGCTTATCTTGACGTTTTGTCTCGTTGTGCTGTCTTAAATTAAATTCCTTCATTACAGCCACATTAGCTCCACTAATAAGACACATGGGTTCACCAGCAATGTATGTAAACATATATTCAGTCATCCACTGGCGCTGAAAGGCTCTGCTTTCAGAATCAACTTTTCTCTCCATCATTGTGAGCGGCTAGCTTCAAGTTTGACTTGATTGACGCAGGAATGTTCCCAGTTAGCCTAGCGTTCAGCAAGGAGCCTGCAGCGCTGTATTATGGGATCTGTAGTTTGTATATTATTAGCGCCTCATATTGTCGCGCGGGCCTTGACTTTGACACATGTGGCATATATGAATTTTCAATTATATTATATTTGCTACATCTGTCTTATTTTGCAATTTACTACTTAAAAATGTATTGTGCAATTTTTTGAAGTTATTCAGGGGGGGAAAGAAGGGGGATGTAAAAGTCAAATATGGCACATTAGGCATTGAAAGGCTAATGGGTTAAGGGTAAATTTATGGATTGCAGTTACAGGTCGGGGTTAGAATTAAAGATGCTGGATCTAGGTTTTGGGGTTAGATTCATGGGGGTTAGGGTCAGTGATTGTGGATACATTTCAGGGGGTCAGGATTAAGATTAGGAGTCAGATTAGAGATGGTGGCACTGTTGCATTACCAAGTTCCTGCTCTGAAGGTTTAACTTGTTTAAATAGAGAATACATGATATATGTTTGTGTTTGTGTACAGACATATTCACATAAATAAAATTATATTTAGCAGCAGTCGGGCAATTCTTTATTCAGAATTATTCAATGTGAGCAGGACAAAAGTCTAAAGAAGCTAAACGTTACATAAATTATTAAAAAAGAGGTCAAGTTTAGTAAAAATGTGAGGATTAGAAAGGTTGGGAATAAAACTGAGGTTAGAGAAGGGGTGAGAAGGTCAAAGAAATGATTGTCAAAGACAGTCGTTAGGGTTAGGGAAAAGTGAGAAGATGGTGTGTTCAAGTTTAGGATTAGGGTTAGGATTAGGAAATAAAGAAGATGGGAGTGCTTGGAAGAAGTGAATGAGACAAACTGACTATTTAAGGTAAAAACATATGAAAATATGTTCACCATGAATGCCAGAAGTTTACTGGTCTCGTTTATTCAAGTTGAATCCACTTAATTTTGAGTGATCAACTCAAGTACAGTGATGTCACATTAACAGAGGGGCAGGAACATCTGGGTTTCATGCTGTTAAGAATAAAAATATTTCGGAGTGAAACAAAACAAACCAAAACTCAAGCCAAACGCACCCAAACCTAGTACTTTGGCTGTGAGAGGAGGAGAAGGTGTGGTCAGGGCTGATAGCTCAGCTGTTGGGGGTTTGGACGAGCCTCAGTCAGTCCGTCAGTCAGTTGAGCTGCTAACACAGAGTGAGAGCACGGGTTAAATATAGAGCAGAGCCTCAGTGCTGATGACCGGGAACAAGCAGGCGTAAAGAGAGAGGCTGAACATCCTGCGGCAAAAAGAGAACTTATTTTATTTCAGCTCAGAGAAAGAGTCTGTTTATTCTCATCTCTGCCCTCGCACGATCCCCTCCTCTCTCTCTGTCTTCAGTTCTCACTCATACTCTCTCAGCCAGTGAGCATACAGCCCAAACTTGGAGAGGACAAAGCTTCACCATGCTCCAACTTTGGCAGAAAAGGAGACACAGTGAAGGCTGGATTTAAGATTTAAAGGAAAGAAGACAGACACGCTGGTGTGGTGAGTGCTGGAGAAGAAGTGAAGTATTAATAAGGACCGGAGTCATTTTGGGACCGAACAGCTGTGACACTAAGAGCTACCAGGTGAGTAACTCTGATTTCTGGCTTGTTTTGATATATTTGTTTTGATTTGCCACAAAGAAATCTAGAAAAACATCTGACCACTACTGAAATGGGTATGTGCCATCATATTTGCGAACATGCCAATATTATAGACCGATATTTTGAAAATATATTGGCGTATACCATTACTGATGGAAGCAAAACAGTATTTATAATTTTTTGCACATTTATTTATTTATTCATTTATTTATTGTTTGCAGTTATTATACAAAAAACAGGACACTCATATAAAAACATACTTTTCCCTCAAATATTCAGAAATGCAAAGATCCAAAGATCTGTATAAAGAGTTGGTGAATCACAACTACTATTAAAGGAAAAAAAATCCAGACAAGATCATCTGAACTAAATTAAATGTCAGCTAACAGAAACACTGACATAAAAATAGGTTTTATATCACCAAGTAAACAGTATGAGAACTTATCAAAATGTTTATTTGAAATTAAAAAAACTCCACAAAAAATAAATATCCAGAATCCAAATATAATGATTAAAAATAAAGAAATCAGGATATTTCAATAAATAAAGCAGTTTAAAATAAAGATTTGTTACAGTAGTTTATATCAGCTAATTACTTAAGGTAGTTTTGAGGTGTTGTTCCATATTATTGGCAGCTGAATTATTTCCCATTTTTTCATCAGAAGAAAATCAGACGAGCTTGGTGTTCTGCTTCCTTGTAACTTCATTCACTAAATAATCAAAAATACTAATAATCAGAAGTGTGGAAATGTTATATTTAAAATGTGTCTTGTCGATGCACAGCAACATCAGTCATACAAATGACGTTGCAGAACCAAAAAGTCAGCTGAGGGAGGAGGTCAGGGTGGCTGGACGGGTCAACAAAACATCAGCAGTGACTCAAACCAAGCTATTTATGGAAGCCTGACTCATGATGGTGGATTTGATCTGTAATGGAGTGAAAAACATGATCTAAGTTAAGTGTGATGTGTGTGTGTTCAGTTTAGAAATTATAACATTATTAGTTATTATTAGGCAAAAATATTTTAAGGTCATTGCTGTAAATCCAGTTAAAATGGTCACAAATTAACATTTGCTGCTTTGTGACTTTTTTAATACTGAAAAATCAACAGGATTTCCAACTACCTTAAGACCTCAGAGACAAAAATATGAAGCACATTTTTATGAGGTTGGGGTCAGGTTTGAGCTCACAGGCTAATAAACCTCTTCATGAACCTTTTACCTCACCTGTAAATGTTTTATCAATTAAAGCATAACCAAATAATTCATGATGAATGATTAAACTTACTCAGAATTACTGAAAGCGGTAAAACATTTTTTGTTTATAATTTAACGGGTTTAAAGGCCTTCCTTTCCAAACTTGATTATTTCATCACATACTGCACATTCATGATGCAAATTCTAGACTCTAAAAGGAGAGTGGGAGGCCATGCTCTGGTTTCCCACACGGATCACTTTAATAAATGTCCAAAGAAAAACTGTACTCTTATCCCATGCCAGGTTTTTCTAATAGATTTATTAATATAAACCCCAAATCATACATCTGTCTGCACAATCTCTTCAACAAACAACATTCTTTAACCTAGAAATGGAAAATATGACAGAAGCAGATGATGCAGTAGATGGCAAAAATAGAAAGCGTGTGGAGTTACAAAACAGAGACACAGAAAGGCTCAAGTGTCACAAATAACATTCAGAGTTCAGTTTGTGCAGCATACCACACCCTGCATCCCCCAACCCTCGACTCTGATGGGAAATCTGGCCGAACAGTAGAGTGGACAGATGTGTGCACAGAGAAACAGTGTAGTAGATTTGCACCATCAACAGTTGAGACAGAACTGTTATGAAAATGATTGTGTAGGACCTAAACACCTACTGCAAACCAACCACACAATTCAGGTATTTAATGGACAAAAGGATGACCGTGCTGCTAGACAAAGATTGAGATCAAAAACATCTGGATGACCCATGATACCTGATGGTCCACCATGGAGAACTGAAAGAGGAAAAGAGCGAAAAGAAAAATGACAGATGGCGATATGACTAAATCTTGGGTGGACAAGTGTTCGAGTATTTAAAAAGTCTAGGAAACAGACTGAGTCCTCTCTGTAGTGTCACTGACTGAAACCATAGTCTTCATAGCAAACACCAGGGCCTCACTATGTTATAAACTCAGGGATGGGATTAGTAAGACTGGCACAGTCATTGATCCTAACTCTTAGGTTTTCGTGCAGGGTTAATGTTGTGAAGAGGTGCATGTTAACTCAAACCACCACCTTCTTTAAACCTAACGTTGTAGCAAAGAAGTCAAATGGCAAGTCAGGGGAAAAAAAGTAGAAAACAAAAATCTCCAAAACAGATGTTTGGCTGTTTGGCTGAGAAACCTGCAGGTTAATACTGCCCCCATGCTTTTAACCTTCTAAAATGGGCTTGGTACGTCTTTAATACAAGACTGTTATCTCCACCTAAACACAGTGAGGAGCTAAAATCCTGCAACATGGTGATTTGATGGTCAACAATCAGGAGGAGGAGCAGGCCATCCGCTAACTGGAAAGTTGGTGGTTCGATCCCTGGCTGCTCCTCTCTGCATGCCAAAGTATGCCAACATACTTCTGGTTCTGCAGCATGAAGCCAACAATCTGCATAAACCTGCATGGTTTTTAAAGGCCAGCAGGGGGTGACTCCTCTGATGGCAAAAAGAAATCTGTCCTTTCTGTGTGAGCTTAGTAAACACTTTCCTGATGAGTTTATGGTCTCCATCTCTAGTTTCAAGTCTTACTTAGTGCAGGAGGATTTTCAGTTTGTGCCTTTTGGTCCCACTTGAGTTAAAAAAGCAGGGTTTGGTTAATGACTGGGCTACACTGACACGTATTGTCCCTAAGGTTCTGAGGCACCCCTTGCTAGTCAGCTGAGTTTTTAAAACTGAAAAGACTCAGGGCTTCTTAAACTCTCCCGAATTCTTGAATTTGATTGGTTGACAGATTAAACAGCCAAAATTTATCTTAAATGCAACAAAAGCGAAGTGACCTTAATCATCTCCTTTCCAGGTCCCGCTGTTACACTTAGGATCTATTAGAGCAGCTTTGCATGATTCACAGTTCAAAATAATCCTTATTTATTTCATACTGGGCCTCAGTACAACCTCTCATTTCATGTCGTTTCTGAAACAAGCCATTTTAGCTCTTCCCCCTTTGAGACAACTTGATTCTGATTGGCTGACTCTTGCAAACAGAAGGATTTAAGATGGGATTATCAGGGATATCCACTTCCTGTGGCATCATAGGGGATTGCAGGGATTTCTTGAACATGCTGTACGCTGACTTCTTCATTTGGAGCAAGAGATACATGACAGAGAATAAGGAAAAGCAGACTCGACTCAGCTTTGTGTAGATGCTGTGTGTAAACGAGAAATTATCAACCTTTTAAATAAGGCTGAAGTGGGGCCAAAATAATAACTTCAGAACTAAAGTGTAAGTGAGTTAAACGCTTTCAGGCGTCATTTAGATGTATAGTGACGGCTTCAATAATGAGTTACTGGAATGAAGCGACACCCACTGAGCCACACTGAGTGTGTCGTTACTGAGTCATGAAAGGATCGTCTGTGAGACACTCGCTCAGTGAATCAGTGAATTATGACTCCCTTATTCACAGCCCAGTAAAGGCTGGTTTCAGGAAGCAGTACATCAGGAGGCATTAATTTAATAGATGTTTTACCAGAGTGCTTAAGCGCCGCTCAGCTGAGAGACAAGCTCTGCTCTTTCCGACACAGTTTCTACAGCAGCTGGGAGGAGATGCTGCAGCAGGAAAACAATTTTCAGTCACACAAGGTTTGTTGTGTCCAGACTGAAATATCTATAAGCAGCTAATGAATGGAAAACATGAACGTTTGTGCAAGTATGCTCTGCAGTCAAGTGCCATTAGTTTCCCTGAATGAAAGAAAACTTGTGTTAAGCTAATAGTAGTAAAGATGTACTGTATTATGGTTTTATGGTATTCCAGAGACGTAATGGGATCATTATGAGGGGAACGTAATTGTAAAAAGTTTTTTGAATTATAGCATGTTACTTCTGGTGGAGGGAAAAGCCCCGCTGGGTTGGTTCAAGCCTGCCCAGGACCTTTGTGCTGCACCCTGCTCATCCACCCCTATGGTCTCCTGTAATTTGGTCTGTTTAAACACTTTGACTTAATCATTGAGAGTCAGTGAGAAGTTTAGCAGTGGTTCAGGCTTGTTGGTCTGACTGGCACTGACTGTATAAAAGATGCACATAGCGATAGTGATGTCACTCATTGGTGTAGTACCCCTTATTGTGTAGCTTCAGCGTTTTTGGATTCTGGTTGCATCCTGTCATGTGCAGTAGGCAGGATGAAGGACCCAAATGCAGGACTTGTACGTGGAATGTAAACTCAAAGCAGCAGCTTTTTTCGTTGGGAAAAATCCTCCATAAAATAACTTACAAAAACCAAAACCCTGAACATGGAAACTAAGAACTTAACACTTGGAAACAAGGTGCAGGGAACTAAGAATAATAGAAACCAGAAACCTGGAGAAACTTACAGCACATAGGGTATTACAACAACAGACAGAGGAAAACACAGGGCTTAAATACACAATGGAGTAACAAGGGAATAGGAAACAGGAGGAAAACAGAGCTTGGACTAATCTGTCATAACAAGACGTGGAGGAAGCAAAACCAAATGCACTGAACACAGGACAAGGAACTATCAAAATAAACAGGAAATCTTCACAAAGACACAGACTTGACACTGTGACATGGAGACACGACTGACTAGGAACATGAAACACAGATTAGAGTAACTAAACGTGGAACACAGGGAAGGCATAGAGACAGAAAACTAGAAACTAGGAACTATAAATATAACACACACAGAAAAAAATTAAAGAGAACTAAACCCATGAAAAACAACAAATCAAATAATATAACTTAACCCAGAATTACACAGACCCAGTAGTGTGACACCTC